GTGGCCACATATATAAAGTTGATCAAGACCTGACCAGTAGTTTTTGAGTTATCTTTATTAATGCGCATTTTATTTATATTGAAGTCGGTTGTACAAAATTTTTAATTTTACAACATGTAGTTCATAAGGAGGGAAGTGCACCTACAGATAACAATAAAAGCTTTGTTTTGTGTCTTTGAGTTTTTTTACTAATATTAGCCATAAATGAAAAAAACCAAGATCAAATTTTTTTACTACAATCCCGAAGTCCCATTGAAAGTCCTACTTGAAAGTTCTCTACAAAAAAATTTCAACTAAATCTCGACATTTTGTTTTAAGTTCAACCGTATTTTTAGTACTTTTCTTCCATTGAAATTAAATATTTAAGATTATTAGACGTTATTCAAAAAAATTGGTTGACCCTGAAGGCCATCCCTGAAACTTCCCCCTAATTTTAAATGCAAAGCGCTCCAAATTTCACCAAACTTTGTTGCGAAATCTCGAAGTAATATTAAAAAAGGTTTTTTTTTTCAAATTCTTTCTCCTTCGATATCTCACGAAGGAATGACGCGATTTTATTTTTTTGAGGTTAAGAGCTGATTAGTTTTTAAAATTAATCGGTAAATCCGTTTAAAAGTTATCCCATTTCGAATAACTTTTTTTTTTGAGATTTCTCAAAATATACTCGCCCTAATCAGTTCATATAATCACCAAATTTATTCTACATTGAGATCTTGAGAACGCCGCAAACCGCCTCTCAATCGATCAAGACTTTCAAAAGTTATAAAAGGTTTACATACTTACACACACATACGTACATACATCTGTACGGACGTCCACGTGAAATTAGTCATAATAGCTTCCTGGGATCTCAAAACGTCGAGATCTGATGAAAAAATCGATTTTCAAAAGTAGGGGTGAAACAAAGAGGGTGAAACCAATAACTTCCCTATTTTTGAAAATTTTTAATTTTCTTAGGGGGAATTTAAAAAACTTCCTAAGCGTTATTCTTTGACAAACATTCTTATTTTAAAACTTCACTTCACAATATCTTTTCAAGGTCCAAAATAAAAGTTTTTGTACAAAAATTCTAAAACAGAAACAAAAGACTTGGGAACTTCTTGAACATGGCCATACAATTTTGTTGTTAACATCAATTTCACGATTATTTATTGAATTATTTTCCTTCTTATCATTGGTTACAATAATTTAAATATCGGTCGCAAACAAAATATATTTGCGACTTATGACTATTACCGTATTTATATCATTTATATAAAGAAGAAACAATATTGGACCCTACACACTCTCTTGCGTCTTTAAAACATCTATAGTTCGTAAAAGATAGCTTGATCTCTGCGACAGCTGTCAGTAAAAATCACGCCTATGAAGTCCTGAATTTCTTAGTAGTTCAGACAGTACCTGTCAATGTCATACTTTATGGGCATGCCGACCTAATTAGTACATGTCCATAAAGTATGACATTGACAGGTACCTACTTTTTGTACTACTAAGAAATTCAGGACTTCATAGGCGTGATTTTTACTGACAGCTGTCGCAGAGATCAAGCTATCTTTTATGAACCATAATGAAGGGTATCCACGACTTTTTCTGCTACCAAGATGGCGCCACTTTAAATTAGGTGAGAAATATTTGACAGATTTCACAGCGGGGGAAGATATTTTTTAGAAAAGTGTAAGTGTTAATGTTTTTTCTGGAATATTAGTTATATTTTATATCAAATAAATTATAAATAAATAAATCAAACCACAGATATTCCAAAAAGTAGAAAAATAAAAATAAAATATTTAATAATGATGATTTTTTTATTAACTTTACGGCTCTGGGCTCTAGCCCTTCTGACCCTACGTGTAAGAAATAAAAGAGCTTATGAGAGATATTATAAAAGAGATAATAATATTCTAGAAGCTGTAATTCTTTTGTTTAAAACTAAATTGTCAATTAAATTACTCTGTGTAACAAAAATGTTCCCTACTAGCGATATCTAATGAGCAGAATATTATTATCCCTCATTACTTTCATATTAATATCGTCATAGCCTCCTGTAGCTATTGTTATTAAGAGATAGGATTTCTTTTTTACCTCTTCTTCTGTCAAAGGCACAACAAACATTGAGTTAGACCATAGAATACTATAAAACATTCATAATAGAACGGAGGAGTGGGCGGAGCCCGCGTAGCCACTAAAATGTCACTAACACGTCAATTCACACGTATAAATGTCACCACGAGATGTGTTTTGAAATCGTTCAATCGTCAATTATTTCCAAATTTCGCATGCAAATTATTTAAAAAATGCCAAATTACACCCTATTTACAAATAAATATGTATTAAAATATAACGATTTTTTAATGATGATCTTGAACATTAATCAAAAGTATAAAATGTGTAAATTCACTCAGACTGTCAACACAGCGAATCGCGTTTGGCGACGCCAAACCTCGTACAGTATTCTATGAGTTAGATGATTTCTCATTACAAGGAAGTCTATTGAGCTTTATTAACTATTGTCAAATTATTATGGAAATAGTAAATAACTATTTTGGAATAAAGGTGACAAACAAGCACACAGTTCACCTGCTGGTAAGTGGATATTGTGGTGGGAATCTACATTTATCCTGAAGTAAGAATCAAAATGCAGGTATGTTGCCACCCCTGAGGTCTGAGATGGAATGTCTCGTTTCCAGTAAAAATGGTCTAACTATTAAAAACCGAATCTATATCAGTAGGATTTCTAATCAGTTCATTATATTTCAAATCTGCAACGTCATGGTCAAAATTTGTTTACATTTAGTTTTCTTTTTTGTGCATAAATCTCGTAATAGAATTTATTTTAGATCTTTGAATACATTTTTTTTAAATCTTTGAATATATGATGCATCGATATATATGTACTACGCACTAGATATGGCATTCCGAACACTCACTATGTTCAACTGAACTGTACTGCAATCCGAACACCTGTTATAGCTTCGATATTCATGCAGTGCGGAGCGGCGCTAATAATAATTTTATATTAAATTAGCACATAGGTATATAAAAAATTACTCGATTAACAATACAATCCAAATAAACAATTATTTATTATGACAATTTTCGCACGTTTATATCAACTGCGCATGCGCGACTCTACTGTTTCCCGCGCATGTGCGGATACAGAGTAGTGCACATTTTTTGTATGGAATAGCTTCTCTAGTTACGTACATATAACTCAATGATGGGATGTATCTTTATTATTTAATTCTGATTTATTCCTGTCGTATTTATGTTGCAGTTTTATATAATAAAACCAGGCTTTTAATCAAAAACTTGAAGAAGACAAAATTACTACTTTATGTTATCCCAAACCTGAGAAAATGCAATTTTTTTAACAAAAACCTAGACTAATTTAGTTTTATGATGAATTCAATTTGGATTGCTATTTTTTAAATAAATAAAACAATTAGAAAACCTAACCTAAATTTTATCATAAACCAATTTCAGCTTTTGATCAAAAAACTGAATTTTTCAGGTTAATGATGATACTTAACATTGCCTGAAAAAAAAGCCACTTAAAATCCGTAATAAGTTTGTCTTACTCCTGTTTTTGATCAAAGTCAAGGTTTTAGCTCGAAAAGCCCACATATTTAGGGTTATTTTGCACTAACCGGCCAAATTTCCGGAAAAAGTTCAGAACAAAAAAATAATGGCAAATGGTAAGAAAAATTGATTACAAAAAACTCAAATAATCTGTATTTTTTATCTTTTAAATTCAATTTTATTTTATTTAAAAGATTTCAAGTATTATTTTTTATGTCAAACCATTATATATAAATACATAGGAGATTCCCTGAACTTCTGTATCTATGTTTTCTGCGCAATAGTCCTTTTTTGTAAAAGAATACGCTTTAATACTTCCCCATGGGAGTTTCAGTAATTGCGCTGTTTCATGGTCAGACATATAAAGTGGTAAAATGGAAGCCAATGCGTCTATATCTATATAAATAAATAAAATTAAAGTGTTCGTTTGTAATGTCAAAATAACCGATTTTTACTAAATGCATATGAAAGTACTTGTTAGAAACTACTAGGTACTTGTTAGAAAAAGATATTTTTTTTAGTTGGTTCCGTCTGTCCGTCTGTCTGTCTGTTTGTTCCCGCTGATATCTGAAACGGCTGGACCGATGTTGACGGGACTTTTACTGACAGATATCTGATGTTATAAGAAGTTTTATTTTAGAATAAGGTTTGATGCAAAAAAAAAACTTGCAATACAATCGTAATAAATTCAACACGGAGAAATCGTGGGGTACTAGTTATATTTTAAAATGGCAAATAAATATTTCTGATCTCTGATATAGGCTGTATGTTACGATTTTGCTTTTTTAAAAATTCAACTAAAAAAACTAACTTTGTAGACCCTAAATGCGCGAACGTAACACTCATCTGGAAAACTATGTACTCCGCCCAGAGGAAGTGAAATTGCTTACAGCTAAGCAACTTCTATAATTCATACTATATAAAGACATAGGGCTTAGCAGGGAACTATAGCCGTAGCAGCGATCACAATAGATCTAATGGGTCGCAGTGATACTTGTATTTCTAGACCTGCATAGCCGCTTGCACAAATTAAAAGAAAGGGCACATAGTCCACCTGATGGTAAGTGAATACTGCCCATAAACACACTATAATCTATCCCCGATTAAGAATTAAAACGTAGATGCGTTGTCCTCCCTGAGAACTAAGATAGAATGCCGCGTTCCTGGTGAATTGGGTCTTCGATTTTCTACACTCGCCATACGAAATACAGCAGTATAAAGCTGCTGCGTTTTTTTACGCTGGTATTCTATGAGAGCGTCCAACTTATTTAATAAGTGCAGCATGGATTTACTACGAAAGACCATTTTCTAGGAATCAATCAAAAAGGTAAGACATTCCATCTTAGTTTTCGGAGGTGACAATGCATCACGTACCTTATTCTATAAAGTTAATTGAGAAGTTAAATATATTTTAATCTTACCCGCCAGAAATAATTTCAAGAAATACATGTTTGCAGTACTGACAACTGATCGATAGTCAGTAAACTTACGTTCTGTTAGTCTCTGGACTGAGACAGAAAGGTAAACTTGTGTGTTTTATTAAAAACAAATTAAAAATTACACGTCGATAAAGTTATTGATTAGTTATACTACAGCTGTACAGTCCACACATTAAAATTTCGCTCTTTAAATCCATTTAGAATGCTTCGCACGCTTTGTTGTTACGAACTTAAAATAAATCTGTAGAAAATTACTGTGTGTAAAAAACAAGTAAAGGGTACTGAAGCCATATTAATGGTTTTTAATATCTTTATCCGTCTGTATGTCTGTCTGTGTATTCATGATTCAAGCAAAATTTATTTTAGATTTTCATGAAATTTGAGATGTAGGTAGTTAGGGACCCATCAATGACCCCGGGCAACTTATAGGCTACTTTTTATCCGATTACACAGCATCAAAAAAGGAGGGTTAAGTTGATATCCTCCTTTAGATGATAATTTTATATTATTTATGATTATGTTAGTTACAAGCGGGATAAAGGGTGTTTTTTGATATATACCATATTTATAAATATAGTTTTAAATTGGTTTCAGCCCTTTGGAATAATTTGAAACTGCACCGACGTTTTTACGCTTTTAAAACAGTGCCATCTATCATAAAATACAAAAAGTAGTATTGTAGCTCAAGTTGCTCTTAATTTTTTTTAAAATTGTTAAGTTTTTTCTTCCTTTATGTTTACTTTCCTTTATAAAAAACTTTCATTTATATATTTAAATAATTAGATTTATAAAACGATTTTAAAATTTATAATTCTCATTTTTCTGTTTTTTTCCGTTATTTCATTATAATAGTGTAATAATTTGAATATTATCTATTTCTGGAAGACCTCTATCATAATACGAAAATTAAGATGGTTTTGTATTTTAATAACTAATCTATACATAAACCGACTAAAACTAGTTTGCTTACGATTGTTGAAAAACTTTCATTATCCTTATAGTTTAATTAAAGAGATTTTTCTATATTGCCAGATTATAGAATTGATCTTATTATAAAGTATTCGATCGTTTCATGAAATGGTGACAATTCATGAAATTTAACATTACACTTCAATGAAATTAACGATTTTTTATGTTAAATAAAATGGGAGATCGTTTGACAACATTAACAACAAAACCCAACTATATGGTCATATCGTAAAATTATTTCAATATTTAACGACCATTTTTCAACATAACCCACATAACTTTATGCCTAATTTATAAATTACAAAAAAAAATCGTGGCTTTAGGTGGCTCAAAGGCTAGTCGCACTTCAACCTACTGTCACTGATATAACTAAATGCTAGGTACAGTTTTGACTGTTTTTTTATTCTTTTTAGGGTTGTGTAGTCAACTAGGAACCCTTATAGTTTCGCCATGTCTGTCTGTCCGTCTGTCCGTCCTCGCTTAATCTCTGTGACCGTTAGCACTAGAAAGCTGAAATTTGGTACCAATATGTGTATCAATCACGCCGACAAAGTGGTAAAATAAAAAAACGAAAAAAATGTTTTATTAGGGTAGCCCCCCTATATGTAAAGTGGGAAGTGTTTTTTTTTTATTTCAACTAGGTGATTTTGTTGCAAAGGTATTTAAAAATGAATAGGGGTTTACTAAAATCATTTTTTGATAATGTCAATAATTTCGGAAATAATCGCTCCAAAAGTAAAAAACAATGTGTCCCCCACCCCTCTAACTTTTGAACCATAAGTTTAGAAAATGTGAAAAAAATCAGAAAACTAGAACTTTATAAGGACTTTCTAGGAAAATCATTTTGAACTTGGATGGAAACAACAGTACCCACTACCGGGAGCAGTTGCAGGAGCGCGGAGCGCTGCTGGAGCGCGAACATAATGGATACCCACCCACCTTTAAACTCATAAGTGGGAACACTTATTGTGACGGACGGGAAACTACGGAACCCTACACTGAGCGTGGCCCGACACGCTTTTGGCAGGTTTTTTAGTTTAGGGACTTACCTTATTTTTAACATGTCAGTCCCATTGTACTTTATAACTAAAAAAACACAATACAATTCATTTATTTATTTTGCAAATACCCTAAATTTAGTATTTGCAAAACATCTACCTCGATCTTTTTTATTCTTACAGGAGCTTTAATGGCTCCTACTGCACTAGTTTTCATATCTTTAATCTAATAATAGCACCATCTACTTTCTACTAAAAAAAAACTAACAAGTATTTAACTGATAAAATGAAATTACAGAATGCTACTGGATACTTATTCGTGCAGCATCAAAAACTGTCAATACTAACTAAAATACTCATAAACTTGGCTTACTAAACTGATAAACTGGATACTCCGTACACAAAATTGTGTTACGTAATGTGAGAGTAAGAGTAGGGATGGGCCGAATATGGATTTCACCGAATACGAATATTCGGCCGAATAGTCGGTAAAATTTTTACCAAACCGAATATTAGGCCGAACATTATTCGGCAGGATAACCTCGGGACCTAACCAATTAATGTCGAAACTTGTTACCGTAAAGCGCGCGGGATTAGCGCCTGACCCTGCCTCTTGCTCCCCGCCACACCTCACAGTTATTGTATCATCTACTACTGAGCAATTTGTCGGCACATGCTTATGTTTTGACTATTCTTGTTATAAAAAAAAGTATTCCGTTGTTTTATTCTTAATTAAAGTTAAAGTTACCGCCTATATACGTCCCACTCCTGGGCACAGGCCTTCGCTCATTTCTGAGAGGGTTTAGGGCAAGGAATTGTCCGCCGCACTACCACAATATGCTTGTTGGCGAACTTCAAATGTCTTCGAAATAATTTTTTTCTTATTTCTCAGACATGCAGGTTTCCTCACGATGTTTTCAAAAAAATTTTTAAATCAGCACTTAACATTGCAATTAACAATTTCATTGGTGCCAGCGGGGATCGAACCCGGTTTGCTCGCGCACTGTGAAATTTACAGCGAGCGCTATCCACCTGAGCTACCACGGCTCTTCTTAGTGAATAAAGTAGAGCTGTAAGAATTTTATTCTTAGTGGAAATTGATAATTATATGATAAAAATGAGCGGCAAGAGATTTACTATTTAGACTTATTTTAGTGAAACTGACGACCAAAGTAAAGTGAAATGTACTAATGTAATGTAATGTTTCTTTGTTTGATTCCAAAACATGGCAAATAGAAACTTGACAAAACATTTTAATCAAGTTTCTATTTGCCATAATCGGAAATAAATCCACAGTGCCTCAAAAACATAAATGTATAGTTTTTTGCATTTGAGGCACTCTAGAGTAGATTTTATCCATAAAAAAAATATACTTTCAACAGTAAAAGACATCGCATTACTCAATTTGTACGTTGGACACTATGAAAACGAATGTTCGGTATAGCTCCGATACGTATTCAAAGCTGCCGAATATGCCGAATACCGAATATAAAACGAATATTCGGCCCACTCTAATCGAGAGGGAAGATTTTTATACACGATGTCTATCGGGAAAGCGGCTACTGATACGCCTGCCGCAGGGGAAATCTAGGGTGTAGGAGTGGGGGTGTCCCTTAATTGCTTCCTTAATTGTGATGTGTGTATGCTAGCAGAGGCAATATTCTAGGTCAGCCCTGCGGCAGGGGCGCAAAACCTTCCCAGCTCCCTAGATCATAGCTGCCGTTGCCCTGTGTGTAGCGCAACTGCTACTTGAATCAGTTCGTCGACGACTTTCACGCGGAGCACATGTGTCAAATAAAGCGAGCAAGTCATGGATACCAAATAAAGAATGTGAAATTTGGACACTGGTGATAGAAGTTTATAGAGTTGTTTCTTCACTCAGTATCTCCATTTTCTCTTTTTTTGCGCGAGCACCACATAAAGAATGTTATTTAAAGGTGGTATCGTTTTTCAAAGGTGGTAGAGCCATGTTGTAGCTATATTAGTGGCATAGTTGTAGCACGAATGGGTCGGCTAGACCGAGTAAGACTGCTGTGTTACGTATGGTGAGTGTAGAGAACCGGAGACCCTTTTTACTGGAGACGAGGCATTCCATCTTAGTCCTCATTGGTGACAACACATCTGCATTTTGATTCGTAATCGATAATGGATGTAGATACCTATGGGCCACAGCATCCACTTACCATCAGGTAGACTGTGTGCTCGTTTGTCATCGTGATCCTATAAAAAGTTATCTGACGTAAGTAATTGAAAATTCATTGCACTTAGAATCATTGCGCCATTGGATGACTAAATACTAGGTGGTTATAAAAATTATTATTTCAATTTTTACGACTTTTATTTCTTATAATAATTATTTATGTCCTCCAGACCGAATTTCGGTCACGGCGGCCAGCCTCACGGAGACTAGCCATCGGCGCAGGACAGGTTTATAGTGCCCAAGTGTATGCGCAAGCACAGCTGCACTTTCTATTCCCTCATTCTCATAGTCCGATGGGACGGTAAGCCGACAGGATCGTAAAGAGATCAGACGCAGGACCAACGGCTTTCCGAGGCACGGGGGTGAGACACTGCTAACTTCCTGACTCCGGGCAGCTACTGAGGATTTCTTGACGGATAAACTTAATAACTGACTTCTTTTTCCGGGCCTCATGACCAGTAGTTGCGTTTACAAGCACTAGACCATGTTTTATCTAATATTGGAGCCGTGTAGCTCGCCGCAAGATTTCATGGAAGGGGAGCAAAATGCGTACGATTCTCGCGAAGATCATTGAAACTGGTAAAAAATAATGAGGAAATTTTATGTGCTAACTTACCACGTTTTCGGTGAAATGATAGAGAATAATATTGTAGGGAAACCTAGATGTTATTCTTCATCAACAGAGTGTTAACCATCTGAGCTACCACGGCTCTATGCCATGGCATGAGTATTATTTAAAAGTATAGGCTCTTGCGAAAAAGTACTATAAATATCTAAGAATGCAGATATTACTTAAACACAGTTTTATTTTAATTTTAACTATGAGTAGAACTACGCTGATAG